ATGCACCGTATCGTGTTTCGTTTCGTGCGCGTGTCACGCTTCGTTGAATCTTGCTCGAGCGCTGGGAAGACGTCTTGGCTTTTTTTAACCCATTTCTCTGGAAATTTACGCAGTCCAAGTAATATTTGTACATGTTTATTAACATTAGGTTCACGGAACACGGGCATTTTTTGACTCGTTCACAAATTTTACAAGGTTTCACAGAAACCGTTTACACTTTTCGAAATCTCCGTAAATCTAGCGTTAATTTCGCTATGAAATCCGTGAAATAGACTCGGATTACAAGTTTTTCTCTGTTGCATTTATTCTTTTAATCTTGATCCCAACGCGTTAAATCCCCTTAACGTTAAACAATCTACAAATATATAAACACCTATCGTAACATTTTTGCGTTTTAGATATCTTATCCTACTTTTCTTTTCAATACTTTCCGATTTCTCACGATTTCGACTTTCGCTCGACTTACCACAACCCTGACGTTCCTTAAGATCACCGTCTTATAGGAACGGGCACAGAAACGGGAACAGAAGCGAGCACATCGGGCGACCTAGGTCAGTTTCCAATGTTTCAAGTTTTGCGAAAGACAGAAGCGGATCCGGTCGAGCGAAGCGGCGGTGGCGTTCCGTAACCCTCGTCCTCGCCCTCACCCTCGCCCTCACCCTGAGCCCTCGCCGAGATTCTCGTTTGCCGATAATTTTTTACGGAAACGAATCGATTCCTCCGCCTTCCGCCGGAACGTTCTTTCGCTCGAGACCCGACCTTCCTGCTTTTTCGCCGTTCCGTGTCAAATGCCAACTGTTAAACGACCCTCCAATGTCAAGGTCATCGTTAGGGAACCAGACCACCCACGCTAGCGACTTCCCATCGACGAGAGCTCGATCGAGGACCGTTCGAGAGGGAAGGGAGGTAACTCGTATTGCACATAAAATTTTCAAGATACGTATTCTCGTATCGTTGGATCGCAAGCTTATTATCACGTTTGTGATCGAAACACGATCACAACGAAAGTTTGTGATCCAAGTACACGTAGCTTTAACTTTACCTTAAACGCTGAAATTTTCGAAAAATTTGAAAAACGAAGTCGATCGACTCGACATTCGAACGGCTCGTTCTCATTTGTCTCCTCCCGAACAACAGAAACGTTGCATCGCCTATATGTAGAGCTGCGTGTAGTTTCCGCCAGCACGTCTCGCGATTCGCGATACCCTCGCTCTGCGGTATTAGCCGTGTGAGTTGATAAAAGCCAGGACAAAGATCAGGCGATCTAGAAGGGAGGGACATGCTCGTTTTTATCGCGATTTCTCGTACGCGTGCTACGACCGAAAATCTGACGTTTGTTTCACGGCTAGTCGAATGTTGGCGACATTTGGAGAAGGTGGTTGGGCGAAATTTGATCGGTCGCGAGAGCGATCGGTTAACCCGACGACATCCTGAGAGCAGACAGCGTGCACGGCTATGGTAACCGGGAGGAGTGCTAGTTAGGTTTCACGGACGACTGTACTGGAGCTGGAAAATCCATTTCGTTTTAAGTTTACGTTGAAATTGAATGTTTTGTAGCTGTGTGTCGAGTCGGGTGAAAGGTAGCTGCCAGAAGTGGCGGGGTGGGCGTAAAGAGGGGGTTGGGTGTGGGGCGAGAGGACGAGTTTGTCGGTGTGACGAGGGCCGAGGGCTGCGGGCGAACGGGTGAATGGTACGGTCAGGAAGGGATGAAAGTCACCGGAGGAGAGACGATGCGCGCTAGGTGTTTCGCCGAGGGTAGATCTGGGTACGAGGGACAGGTTACTACGCAGTACCGGAATACGAAGTACGGAATACGAAGACTGATCTGCGGGGTGGATGGAACCAAAGGGGGAGGGGGAGAGTTAGGCGGTCGTATTCCGACCAACCACCCAACCCCACCTTCTCTAAATCACGTTTATCAGAGACTGATGGCGAGCGGCGCGATATAGTATCGAAGGAGGTGCGGCCAACCGGGCAACGAAGGAGGGTAGGAAGACGGAGGGGAGCTAAAGAGCGAGAGAAAGAGGAGACGATCCCGTTCGGGAGTGTAGCGGAGCGGCGGAGGGCGAGAGGGAGCAGCGAGCGAGCGAGTTGATAAGTTGTCGAGTAGCGGAGCGCGGAGCCGCGAGGCGCGAGGCGCGAGGCGCGAGTCGCGAGGTGCGATGCGCGAGGCAAGAGGCAAGAGGCACGAGCTCCCGAGTACGAGAAGGGCGAAGAAGGGAAAGAAGGGAGTGGAAGCGGGTGGTACACGCGGATATTGATTCCCGTGGGATATGCGCGCGCTCGACGAGACTCGGAAATCTAAACGTATGTACGATGGTTTGGCAGACATGCCGGTGAGATATACGCGTCCCGCGACGTATAACTCGCAGGGGTACCTCGATTCGTTCAAAGAAACAGAGGAAAAACGAACCAAGCATCGTTGTTGGTACCCGTTCCTGGTAGTCTGGAACCAAACGAGCAAGAGTCCCGCACGTGTCACACCACTTTTGCTACTCGACTTTTCGGAGGGGGCTGCCTCCGAAGAACGAGGGCCCACCACCGTGGAACGTCACTCTCCCAATTCTTCGTTTCGTTGCAGGCTCGATGCTACCGTCTATCCGACTCTCCCCTTGTGATTTTTCGCGAGACCAGCTGAAACGGAAACAGACGAATAGAAGAAGGGAGCAGACCTGTTACCACCTGTTTTTACCACGACCGGTCAAATGACCCTTTTTCAACTTTTTTTATACGGTTTACATATAATGTCGAATTTGTATATAATTCAGAGTAATTCGAACGATAGAGATCCGCTGGCTACCCTTCCGCAACGCCATCCTCATGGACCTCCACATTCGAGCGTGGTTTGCTGCACGAACGACTCGAGAGTCAGAGAGCCGTGGATAAGGATCGCAATAAGGGTACGAGACCAAACACGCAAATAGGGGAGAGGGGGGGGGGGGTGGAACAGAGAGACGCGAGGCAAGAATTTCGACCTCGAAAGAAGCGTGGCAAACGCTGGAGGACAAGAAAGAATGTTAGATGTAGTTTAAGATTAGACTTTAGCTTTTGATTCCGACGAGAGATCGAATTAATTACCATTAATTTTCATTAATGAAATTTTGAAATCAATTTTAAACAATTGGGTATACGTACAAAATTCCATTTCATATATAAACTAATGTTCGTTAAAGCTGCAAATTTCGGTCAACATACGATACTTTCTCTATAAAATCGAACCATTCTTTCAAATCGAGTTACCGTCGATTTCTATTTGTCATTCGTTATTCGAATAAAAACGTTCACCGTCGAACAACGCCAATAGCCAGATTCGTTTGCACAGATATACTCGTTAGCTGTACGAACGAGAAGCTCGGTTAACACCGTTTAGAAATTGCTACCGCTATCTACCACTGGTTGCCATTACCTACCACCACAATTCCGCCGTCTATCGCCACAGGCCGCTACTTACCACTACCGTTACCACAGCTGACGCCACCACGCCACGGAGACCTATGGGCGACTTTCATGAATGAAACCCACGCGCGATTCACGCGACCGTTCGATTCACGTCGAAACTGTAATTTCTAACTTTCGTCCTCGAAACGATCTTCCCGAGGATTCGTCCCGAGACTGGTCTGCCCACGAGGGCTCGAGAAATGGGATCTCGAATGCTATCTATACATGTATGTACACCCTCGACACCACACGCCAGGGTCGTTGGAGCGGCCACAAATTTAACCAAGAGTGGCGCAACTTGAAGTAGACAGAGGTGAATACGTTGTTATACTTTGTAACGCGTTGCGAAACGTACAAATGAATTCTGTGGCTTTATATTTGAACATTTGTTAGTTGTCGTTTCGTTACATTAAAATACTAACCATTCTATAAATACCTCTACGATAAATCCAAGTACAGACATGTCGCGTGACAGCGATTTGGTCGAAAACTTGAACAGTTGATAAGTTAACCTACCAAAATGATGCTTTAGTATACATGTTTAAACTTGTAAATAGATTTTTAAGGGAATTACATCGATAACTTTTGAAGCTAACTATCAAAGGTATTTCACAACGGAAAGTATCGTAACGTATTGTTGGTTGCGCCAGTATATCGTTGCGAAACCGAGTCCTCGCAAGTATGCTTGGTTTGCGCTCGATGTTGTTAAATTGTATTCCGTAGACATTCCACAACAAAGACGTCATTAACGTAATTTCCCTATTTTGTTTATTTCTATTCCTTGCGCAATAGCCGAGTGTCGAATAGACGAGGGTGGGGAGGGTACGAGAGATCTGCATGGAGAAAGAGTACCGGCGGACCGTTACCACTACTAGTGTCACCGTCACCACCACCTCTGTTCGCCTCCACCTCCGCCACGCCGCGCACTACCCCCCTCCCTCGCTGGTGGGTATCACAACCACCACCACCCGACAGCATGTCCAACGTTGA